CCACCGTTTGTTTTCTTTTTCTTATCTTTTGTATTGCGGCACAATAGCTGAGGTCTTTTCCACCTCCAGCTAACGTGTAATGATGATGATGATGGACGATTAGGGTACTCATCCAAAGCCTTTGGATCAAAAGCCTGTCCGTAAGGCAGCGGGGAGGTGGCAATGATTTAGTTTTACAGAAATGGACGCCATCCCATTTCAAACCCCCAACCTGGAGGACCAGGAGACTGAGTTTGTCTGCCCTCTCGCCATTGACCAACCTGGTAGGAGTAGCTCTCAAGGTGCCCGGAGGCATCACACAGTATAGCTCAATGGGTCAATGAGGTATGCAAACCGTCGCACCACGCAACGTTGCGACGGATTAATCACAGATTTCTCGGCCAGATGCTGCTCATATAATTCGCGCTTTCTCAGGGTACATAAATTTCTAGCCTCTTTGTAATGGGCATAATTTTGAGTCGTCTGAGTGAACTTGAATCGGCCCCAGAGTTCTCGCCTTCTCAGCATGAGCGATTTGATTTCCTGATCTATCCATGGGGGCCCTTTGGAGAAAGATCGTTGTATAACCTTTGGAACAACCCGATCAATGATAAACATCAACTTGGAAACCGTTTGAATATCTCACATCCAATATCCGTGTTATGTCTTATTTACTATGGAATTCGTTCTCAATGCACTTGACCCGTTGCTTTCATTTCCAGACTACCCTACTTGCCAGACATTTATTCCTTACTGGGCACTTGAACTGCAAGCACAAACACATATTACGGACCATTAAGTACGTTGGCGCTCAAATCTTGAATTATACCGACAATTAGGACTTGTCTTTCTACGGATAATTACACATTCGGCTTCATATTTAACCACTCGTCAACCGTTATATATTAAAGTTTGCATTTGCACCGATCCACGAAAAAAGCATTTAACACATTTGTTAAAATTTTTGAGAACAAGTGGTTATGGCCAAGTAACAGTGTTTGCATTGTGTGAAAGTGGTGACTAAAGGTATCCAATGCATTGCCTGCAAACTCTGTGAGTGGCCAAAAACGTTGCTCGCAACTTACTGAACTGCTCTTCAAGGCCTATGCTGAGCACAAGGGTTTGCTATAGATTTGTCGATATTGTATCGATGCTGCTGCGTTGGCAAGGCGTCCGCCACATCAACATCCTGAAAGACGTTCTGTTCCTTCTGCTAGGCGAGCCAGAAAGCGGGACAACACATTTTCCAGCGACGTTCCAAAAGTCGCGGCCACCCCAGCCCCGTCTACTTCTCATTCGGATCTATTGACACACATCCGGCCTGTTGAACCTACGACAAAGTCATATGCGGCCGTAGTGAAGGAGAAGGCGACCTTGGCCTCGTGTGGCCAAGGTCCAGCCACATGTGTCACCAAGACTAAGTCTTCGAATAAACCTGAGCTTCCATCTTCTCAGTCACAAATGAAGCTAGTTCTCAACAGACTTTCTGAGCTGGAAAAAGTGATAAAGGAAAATCCATCATCCCGTAAGCCACCAATCCCAGAGCGCATTCAACCATCTCGTGACCGTTGTCTCATCATCGTGAACGCGGCGGAATCGGACAAGGCTACCTCGGCGTAGAGAATGTTGGATGATCAAATACTGCTCGAGCGGATGATTACTCTACTGTTTGATGCAGGTGAACAAGGAATAAACATTGTCACTGCCTTCCGTCTCGGTAAGAAGCAAGAAAATTTTTCCAAGGTTCGAGCCCTCAAGATTGTATGCGGGAAAGAAGAAGAGTGCGCGCATCTTCCGACGGACTCCACGTCTCAAAGGTGAACATTTCTACGTGTTACGAGACCTCTCTCCCGAGGACCGAATTAAAATGAGGAAGGCTGTAGAGGAGCTACGAACGCGCCGGGCGAGTGGTAAAACCGACCTAGATATTGTGGATTTTGCGTAGTTCGGAAGAGCACAAGAGCCCGCTGGAGGTCGATTCATGTCACCCCCAGACAGTAAAGCATAAAAACGGACTACACGTGCTATCTGGCAATGTGCGCAGTCTAAGGAATAAACCGGATGAAATTCAGTTGTTTTCTTCTGAGACTCGTCCAGACCTAATGGCCTCCACGGAATCCTGGCTATTCCCAGATATCATGGACTCGGAAGTGTCTATCCCTGGATATCACCACTCCCGGTCCGATCGCCATGGAGTGAGGTCAGGTGGTGGAGTAATTCTCTACTGGAAGACATCTCAAAGTACATTTATTTGAAGCTATCAGTGACCATGATGACAATTTCGAAGCCCTCTGGTGCCGTGTTCATGACGGATGCAGATCTCTCTTGGTCGGTGTCGTCTACAGAGCGCCATCGGACCCGGAGCGCGCTTGTTGGGCTCGATAAGGATGCACGACTGTCTAATCTTGGGGGATTTCAATGCACCTGATATCGATTAAGACCCACATCTTTGTGATCGCCGATCTGACTCTTTCGATGCCACATTGCTTAAAACCGCTCTCGACTGCAGCCTCGTTCAAGATGTCTTGACGCCTACTCGCATTTTCCCAGACCAGATCCCGCACATCCTAGATCTCGTGCTCTCCCCGGTAGATTCGGATGTAACGAACCTAACAGTTCTTCAACCCATAGGGAAGAGCGATCAGTGTTGTCTCATTCCACTGGACTCGCTGTGTCACGATGCAGAGCCACAGTCATCACCGACGGAATTTTTGGCGTGCCGATCCACTCCGTCTGAAAACGGCCACAGCGCTACGGATTGGGGTATCCCTGAACACATACACCTCAACGACGCGTGGAATCATGTACTCTCCAAAATGACGTCGCTATTTGAGCAAGTCGTTCCATCCTCCCATCGAAAGCCCTTCACTAGAGGTCCACCTTGGATGGATCCAGAATTGAGGTCAGCTATGAATAGAAGGCACAAATTATGAGACCGCTTTAGGCAATCTCAATCAGAACCCGACTTTTCTCACTACAAGCTTGTCAGAATTGTGTCGCGATGGATCGTCAGAAACGTCAACAATACGAACTATCCTTGGCACAACACTCCAGAATCGCGCCTAAAATGCTCTACATATTTGAGAGGAAGCACTAGAGCTGGTAATGGCATCCCTGCTTTGTGTTCCTGTGATCATCAAGCTTTGCTTCACGAGGATGCTGAGAAAGCTAGTCACTTGGCTAAGCAATACGCTTCTGTTTACGCGAAAGAAACACCATTTAGTGACAGAGCCGTATTCACCTTTCCATCTTCGTTGGCCCAAGTTGAGAGTAACAATGATTCTGTGATGAAACTTTTTCTTGAGTTAGATCCGTATAGCGCACCCAGCCCTGATGGATTGCATCCCTTGCACCTCAAGACCGGCGGAGTAAAATAGCATTACCCATATGTCAAGTCTTTCGTCGCTCAATAGAAGCTGGTCGTCTTCCTTCAGCTTGGAAAGTGGGTATCGTCAAACCCATCTACAAAGGAGGAAGACGACATGATCCGAGCAATTATCGTCCAATCTGTTTGACGTCAATAGTGTGTAAAGTTATGGAACGGATCCTAAACAGGCTGTTAATCTTCATCTTGGGGGACAGAACGTCATTTCTTATACCCAGCATGGGCTCCGAAAAGCACGCTCCTGTACCTCGAACTTGGTCGTTGCCAAGAAGACCTGGGCAAAATCACTAAACTCTGGCAAACGCTTGGACGTTGTGTTTGTTGACTTCAGCAAAGCTTTTGACAAAGTCCCGCATGAACGGCTTCCGTTCAAGGAAGTGGTATTTCTGGGAACCTCCTGTCTTGGATCTCCGATTTCCTAAACGACTGCTCCATGCAAGTGAAGGTGAATGACACATCTTCTGCTCCTGTTCCCATGACGAGTGGGGTCCCACAGGGCTCTGTCCTCGGTCCCGTACTTTTCAATATCTTCATCAACGACATATCGTCCACTCTTCAGACCGACTGCCTAATCTACAGTGACGTGCTAAAGCAATGGATGGAAGTATCCCGCCTGGAAGACGTGGACAGATTACAACCTACGCTCGATCTATTCCATGATTGGTCGAATAAGTGGCAGTTGCCTGTAAATCGTGTTAAATGCTCAGTTCTCCTCGTGGGCTCATCTAAGCCATTTGGAACTTAGCACCTTGGTGTTCCTTGCTCAGAAGCGCAACCAAAGAAAGTGATCTTAGAGTGATAGTGTCATCAGACTTCAAACCTATTCAAGACACCTAGAAGAGGGTCGCCGCGGCCTACATGATATGCCATTCTATACGTAGTGGGTTTTCTCTCCTGACCCCCGGGCATTTCCGACTCCTCTTTGGCTCGCATGTACGCCTGATTCTCGAATACGGGCTAACCGCTGCCTACCCCCTCACCAAATTCGAATGTGATATGATAGAGAAGGTTCAACGGCGTGGAACAAAATCCGTCCCTGAAATGCGAGACTTGTCCTATCCACCGAAGTCAACGACTTGTTCTCCCTAGGTTACCGTACAGATATTCACTCTACGCATTCTCAGAGGAGAACTAGGTTGAGTTACACGACTTCTTTCAACTCAACACTAAGTTCGACACGAGGCCACCGCTTGAAACTGTTCAAACCAAGGAATCTCCGTGTGCGGCTCAATTTGACCTTATCAACAGGCGTACTGAATGATTAGGACCGGTTTCCGGATCCTATTGTTGATGCTGAGACAGAGGAAGATTTCAAACAAGTGTTGGATTCCCACCTGAGCGCGCTGGGATTCTGCTGCCTCTAAGACAGCTACAGTGGTCTTCTGCGGAACCTATTGCCGCAATGTCCCACACCATCTCCACAATGAGCGGGAAGTGAAGGAGCTGACAAAGGATCTTCCTTCTGCTCTCTATCATCCAATGAACAAGACATGCTTTCGTGTTTCGGAGTACCTTGGGGAACACTACTACTATTATAGAATAAAAGATAGCCTAAGTACGCATATATCTGGCAAACACAGACGTCAGCTGTCCAGACGTACAACCGTCCGTATCTAAAATCTTGCGGGAGGCGTACCTGATGATCTAAACTGGTAAGCGACACGCAGGAAAAATTCTAACAGGACAGAATCCGCAAGTAGCGGGGGAATTATTCCACCCCGCGAAATTTGACCCGCTCGTTGTAGATCGGCAAACGACAAACAATAAAAACTTAAAATTGATCGACTACGGATTTCCGCGAAAGGGCAAATTACATATGTTTTATTATTTCGTACGTGACCACTAAACATGCCGCTAAACAACAAGTTCAAGTTCAAGCGGGACTGGAACGATAGGATGATCCCGTGAGTGTTCCTTCTTCGGCGGGTTGTTGAACCAGGAGTTGGCGAACTTTGAAATACTGATGGACCTAAAACAAAGACCGCATCACACCCTGTCCAACCAATTAATGCCCACGTATCCTGCCCTAGCAGTCCCTGCTGGGTCGGTTACGTGAAGTAAGAAAGAGAAAAAAGTAAACGCGGAAGGCAAAAGAGAAAGTGGTAAGAGCTAAGCAAGTGGGATACCAAGATACTTGAGTCAATAAAAAAGAACTGAAAAGTGAAGGTGAGTCAGCTAGGAAAAAGGAAAGGTTTGCTGTTGCCACCCAAGAGCATCGAGCTGGCGCGCAAAACCCTTAACCGTAAGTTCCCTAACCACGTGATCTGGAAGCGATGTCTATCGATCTATAACTCGGCGCGATAGACGAGTTTCCGTCCTAATCCTATCAGACCGTGGTTTATGCAGTTTCAGTGGGTGACCGCGGAGACTAGGTAACGTAGCGGGACTAAAAAGCCCTGACAAGTCCGGGCCAATCTTACCCGTCAAAATACGATACGTGAGTATCAGGTCCCCGCTTATCCTTCGGTAGTGCATGGAGTACATACCCAAACTGAGCAAGCGTTCAGGATACGTCTGTCCCCGTAGACCATGCAATAACCGAGTGCCCACTCGTAACACCCTCTCCAAGTCCACTTTGTCTCGGTTAAGACATGGTGGACAAGCCTGAATACAATATTCCAGGTGGGGTCGGACGAATGCCGAAAATAGCTTCACAAACAACTTGGCCGTTAAGATTCCGAAAGAGCGGCGGATTAACCACATCATACGAAACCCTCGACAAGCAGCCTTCTTCCAGTTGTCTCCAGAATGAAGTGCTGATGCGTGTACGACTCCTAAATCAACCTGCTGAGTGACAACAGGGAGTTCACCACCGCCGACAACATATCGGGTGGGAGGATTAGCAGCTCCGATTCGGAGAACAGAGCACTTCGCCCTATTTATGGGCACCAACCATAAGATAGACCATTCCCAGAGCCTATCCAAGGCACGCTGAATTGCCTCAGGACCCCCCGGGATATCCACAATATTCCAGAGCTTAAGGTCGTCAGCAAACATTAATGATGACACCCCTAGCTCTCCCGGCAAGTCATTTACATAGATCGCGAACAACAATGGCCCCAATACCGAGCCCTGCGGAACGCCACTAAGCACAACTTGCCTGAGCGTAAGGCTACGCCCCAACCGTACGCACTGTTCCCTCCCCTCAAGGAAGGCAGACACACATTGAAGGGCGCGACCAGATATCCCGTAAGATCTCAACTTTAGTGAGAGCCGAAGATGTGGAACAGTGTCAAAAGCTTTCGAAAAATCTACGAATAGCACGTCTACAGCGTGGCCACTGTCTACCGCTTCGGCCCAGCTTTCACGAGCTACAAGTAAATCAGTCTGACATCAAAATCCTTTGCGGAACCCATGTTGTGCAACACTGAGAAGGTTGAATCGATTCAGGTGGTTCTCCACTGAATTCCTTATCAGCTTCTCGAACAACTTGACTACTACGCTTGTCAAACTGACAGGCCGGTAGTTCGCGGGTAGAGCGCTGTCACCGCCATAAACCATAAGATACGGGATTTTGGGTGGCAATTCCGCGAGAGGCTCCAAAGCTACTAAAGGACAAGTAAAAAATTGTAGCAGCTTGTCAATCTCTCACGAGCACGAAATTAAGGTAAACTGGCACGCAAATTAACCTCGTAACTAATGTTGCGCAGACGCGTTCCTTGGAGTTCCACCCTAACGTAGAATAATGCGTGAGAATGAAGTTCGAATGCAGAGGCACCGTCTTAGATGTGCAAGCGTATACCCACTTCAAAGCTTCAAATTTTGTATGTCATCCTTGCACATTGGTCATGGCCATCTTCTCCGTGTATTTGCAAGTTTAATACAGATTAAGATTCAGATGGACTGGAACGATAGGAAAATCCCTTGAGTGTTTCTTCTTGAGCAAATCGTTAAGCCGGGAAATGATAAGATGCCAAGTCTTGATATATCTAAAACGAAACACCCGAAACACAACCTGATCAACCGCTTACTGCCCACGTTCCCTGCACTAGCAGTCCCCTGCTGTGTAGGTTACGTGAAGTAAGAAAGAAGTAAAGTAAATGGAAGATAAAGGGGAATGAAAATCATTAAAATGAAGGATAACACCAAAGAGTGAAGAGAATGACAGAATAAGAACTAACTTTGAAGATGGATATGGTCAGGAGAATGGAAAGGTTTCGTGTTGCCACCCAAGAGCGTCTAACTGACGCTCGAAACCCTTAACCGTAGGTTCACTGAATACATTTTCTGGAAGCGAGTTCCAGCGCTCGATAACTCTACGCGATAACCCAGTTTCCGCCCTGATCCCGTCAGAACGCGGCTTGTGTAGCATCATGGGATAACCGCGAAGACAAGGCAACCTAGCCGGGCTAAATAGCCAGCTCAAGTCCTGCCCAACCTTCCCTGTTAAAATGCGGTAAGTAAGGATTATGTCTCCTCGAAGCCGTCGGTAGTGCATTGAATACATACCCAAGCTAAGTAGACGCTCTGGGTACGATTGCCCCGTAACCCCTCGACCAACTTGGTACCTACGCTCAAAACTCTCTCTAGCTCCACTTTGTCCCGAACAAGTCAGGGCGGGCAAGCCTGGACGCAGTATTCCAGATGGAGCCGGACGAATGCTGAGAACAGCTTCACAAGTATGTCGGCGGTTAAGACACCGAAAGAACGGCGTATTAACCACAACATTCTGAACCCCCTACCAGCGGCCTTCTTCCAGTTGTCACCAATATGCAAAGAAGAGGAATGGATGATGCGTAGGTCAACCTGGTTGGAGACAAGGGGAGTTCGACCCCACCGAGTACGTAGTTCGAAGGCAGGAAAGATGCTCCTATACGAAGGACGAAACACTTAGCCTGATTTCGGGGCAGTAGCCACAAAGCAGACCAACCCCAGCGTCTGTCCAGTGCATGCTGTATGGCCTCAGAACCCCCAGGAACCTTTACAACATTCCATAGCTTAAGGTCATCAGCAAACAATAGGGATGATACCGAAGCTCTCCAGGGAGATCGTTTACGTAGATGGAGAAGAGCATCGGTCCGAGGACCGAGCCCTGTGGGACACCGCTAAGGACCGCTTGCCTAAAAGCTAAACTGCCACAAACACGTACACACTACTCTCTTCCCTGCAAAAACGCAGATACCAAGTGAAGGGCGCGGCCAGATACGCCGTAGGAGCTCAACTTTTGTGATAGCCTCAAGTGGGGTACCTTATCAAATGCTTTCGAGTAGTCTACGAAAAGCACATCTACTACGTGGCCATTGTCCACTGCCTCGGCCCAAGCTTCACGAGCAACCAACAAATTCATCAAACACGAAAACCCCTTCCGGAATCCATGTTGTGCACCACTGAGTAGATTAAATCTCACCAGCTTTTCAAGCAGTTTGACCACGACGCTAGTCAGACTGACTGGCCTATAATTGGCTGACAGACTCCTGTCGCCATTTTTGAAGATAGGACAGATGACAGCCTCCTTCCCTTCAGAAGATAATGTACAGGTGTCAAGTGATTTTTGAAACACAATCGTCAGAGGTCCACTCAGTTCCACCGCCCACTCATGCAGAAGCTTCGAATGAACTGAATCATGTCCAGCTGCTTAAGAAGGGTTCAGTTCTTGCAGCAGTTTAAGGACTTGCGTTTTCACCACAGTAAACTCAGTTAAATAAGAACCCCCAGGTACTCTGTGGACAAGTTCAACGCTAGTCAACGCGGCCTCACGTACATAAGCCTCTGCATACTGCTCCCCAAGTACACGAGCCTTATATGAGTCCGCATACGCACGAGTTTCATCGGCCCGCATCAAAGTTGGGACTACCGAAGTTCAACCACAGCGTCTCTTGACAAAAGCAAAGAACTTCTTCGGATTTTCCGAGGCTCCATCAGCCAATTCCTTTTCGTACACCAGCCGATCTTTCCTTAAGTTTTATTTACACCTATTTATAGCCTCGAGGTATCTGTCATAGTTGCTAGTTGATGTAACCGCACGGTAGGTCCTCCAGCACCTAGAACGCTTCTGGAGCAGGTACTTGCTAGTGGTATCTATCCACGGCGGCCGCGCTCGTGTTTCCTTACTCCTCCTAAGCGGGATGTAGGGACTACACACTTGCGTGAGGTAAGATAATTCAGGCCGCCTGAACGTATCAACCACCGAGATTTCGCAACGCATCCCAGCAGCCTTGATGCGCATTGCCTGATATTTAGCACACTAAATGTTTGGAAATGGCTTAGCAATGCTCTGGTGACCCCTGGTCAGAGTACACCTGAACGATAAACAAACATAATCACTAGCACCTGAGGGAGAGCTGTAAGTGCTGTCACTTACGAAGTCTAGTGACTTGGCAAGAACTAGATCCAAAATAGACGGGAGTTAGGCGTCCATGTACTTAATGGAGAGGCTAAATAACTGAAGCAACGGTACTTGTAGCCCAAGCTCAAGGAGATCCGCCCCGAAAGTACCTTCCGCCCAGTTGCAAGAAAGGTCTGACCAGCAAACGCCTGGGAGATTGATATCCCCCAGTATGAAATACTTGCTTGCCGATTCGAAGAAAATAAAGTAAGCAACCCTTTGGACGAATTCCAAGGGCATATATACACAAGTACAAAAGACGGCGCAACATGGATTCGAACACCGGCAACATGGTTGACAACGCATGATATAACTATACCAATTTCCACGAAAGTT